GATCATCACCCTAATAGCCACCTTTTCTACCAGCCAGTTGTTTGATCTTGCTTTATGCTACACCTCTTGCTACACCCTTTAAGATTGCATCTAAAGAGCAAAACTGCTTCTAGGCTGGAAAGTGCTACTTCTTCTCTAAAAAAATTTCCGGACATCACTGTAAGAAGCCCAACTCGGTGACACACCACTTGCATCACGGGTGAGTGGACATCGGCTCAAAGCAAGATCAAGTCAGGTTACCTCAAACACAGATGTTTTGTGCCCCTAAGACATCAGTATTCCTGGCCAGACCACACTTCGTTTGTCTGAAATTTGCCCAGATCGCTCCTTCTCCTTTTTCAGGGCCCGCCTGAAGCCTACCCAGCACAGCTGCCCTCAAAGCTCCCTGTAAGCAGCGGGCGCAGCCTGCCTTAGTGGAAAGGCACTTGTGCGAGATCACCATCATTCCAGTTTCATCATTCCACCTCAAAAGGGCACAGAGTCATTTTTAAAAGCAGTCTGAACATCCACCATCTCCAACGAGCGAACCCAGATTTTAACACCAAGTAACAAGGATGATCCTGCCTCAGTTACAACTAGTTTTAGGTCGTAGATAACATTCCCCAAACAGCCTTTACTAAAAATCTAAGCTACTAGATTTAGGGAGCTGTATTTTTACAGCCACCCAAAGAGATCTAGATGCTAAAAGCCCTCCTTTAACTCTGAAAATCTCAACACCAAGAAGACATTTTAGTGAAGTTACTGCCTTTTCTTCCACCTGAACATCTCTGGACGGGTGCTCGCAGAGGGAGCTTCTTTGGGAGCTGGAGCAGTAGCAGTGTATTTGAGCACCTGCCCAAGCATCTGTAGGCCAGTGAAGACAACGATGGCAGTGTTATCCTGCTGTGCTTTGGATCTCAGTGCTGAAATATTCCAGCCACTAGGGGGGTGATTTTTATCAATCTAGCAGTTTGCAAAGTGTTGCTGAAAACCCATCGTATCCTGCAGGTTTACTAGAGAGGCTTTAACACTTCCACTACTTACTTGTGTGATGTTTCTTTATCTCAGTTTCATTTTTGAGAATGATATTCCTTATAGTGCATCCCTGATAAGTATACCTCTGTGCTTTGACATACCGAACAGAATAAGTAATTCTGACTGGGTGCTGTCCTACCTGCTTCTCTATTGTTTTTTCATCCTTGTGGTAACTTTTTGTTCTTTCATCTTCCTCAGCTGGTCATGGGGGTTACTTCTCTGTTTTACTACCTTTTTCATTACAATGAGCTTCATAGTGTTCTTCATCCTATTTATTTTCACTGAACAAACTTTACCGCAGACCCAAATCAGTTCCCCACTCATTCTATAATGGCCAACAATGTCAGTACATTCAATTTTACTATTTGTTGCCTGTGCCACAAGATACCTATTATTTCCTGTTCCTCCCTAGAATATCAGTCTTCATTTGCTGCTGTTTCAGAGAACATTGAATTGCACAGTCTTAGGCAGCAAAATCCTGCTGGTGTTGGACCCTGGTCTTAGCTACACTGATTAGACTTGGGGAGTGCCAGAAATGGTCTGGCTGTCCTCCATGGTACAACGTTGCAACAGCAGGCAGGGCAATCACAGCGACAGAGACGAATCAATTGGAAACCAAAGCTACGTTAAGTCAATCCCATACCTACTCTTTGTGATAGGACCCAGCAACGAACCCAGAGGAAGGTTTTGCTGTACTCGAGTCTGCACAAACGTTATCAGCAGGCAGGGCCGACCGAGAGACTCACGATCTAAAAGGTTTTCCGCAGCATTTACACATAACATAGCTTCACATACATAGTGCCTGACTACAAGCCGACTTTCACCACCAGGCACAAGACACTAGGTTTATGAGTGATTGTTTCAAGGAAACATCTGCTCAACAACGGCCAAAAAAACCAAATTGCTAGGTGTTATTCATAAAGAAACAGAAAACACTGCAACATTATAACATGAAGTCCTAGAGCCCCTGCATCACAAAAGCGTAAGGAATGCCCTTTCATTCATGTGAAAACAAAATCCATGGGCACCTTACTTTCATTCTCTAACTTTTATATTTGGTGCCATGTAGCAGCACATTAACCTCTGCTCTGGGACAGCCCAGAGAGGTTAGCAACTCCCATGCAAATGGGAGAGGGAGGAAAATCAGGACAATAATGACTTGAGAAACACATGAATTCAGTTAGGACCCAGATTACTGCCATCACTATCCCCTACCAGAGTCTGCTGCTCGTTTTGGATTTTGGGGTGAATGATTTCACAAGGGAAAGATACTGCAACCCTTAAAAATGGCAAGCCATTCTTTCTCCTCCCACAAAAGACTGCAGCAGACTTTCCCAACTATCTTTAATTAGGGATTCTTACATTTTATACAGGCTATAACTCTCTAGTAATTGCAGTGTGTAAGTTTTGTAGCGTTTGCAGCTACTGACAATGTTTTGATTTAATCTAGTTAATCATAAGACGAATGTCAGGTTCCACATAAATGCATCTTTGTGATCTTTGCTCCACTTACTGCTTTTCTTGGCTCTGATTATAAGCTGGTTTGCACCTTTAAGCAGTTATAGTACCATATTATTAAACTTCTTTATTTCCCAAGTAAAGGTATGTATATCAAGACATTACATACACTGATTTTATACAGCACTTCTAGCCATTACTAGGAGTTGGCAGAGCTATAATAAATATCTTACAAGTACTCTTAACACATATAAAAAATGTATATTTTACAAGCCATGCGGACTTCCACATTTAACCGTAAGAGTACTGTCCTTTCTGTATCCAAGAAGAGGAGATATTATAGTAAGTTGCTGCATTCTCCTCACAGTGCCCTTTCATTACAGTCATAACTACAGTCCTCTTTATTCAAATCAGGTTAGAGGCTCCCAGCCTGTGAACGGCAAATGAGCTCTCTCTGCCCCCCTTTGCTCACTGGATTCGCTTGATCACTTGCAACCTCTGCTCTTCAGCTGGGAGGAAGCCCCTGCTCCCATTGTGCAGCAGGTCCCTGCAGCTCCTTTGAAAAACCAGAGGAATTAGCATAAAAGGATTCCAGCAAAGAAGCTACCTGCTAGAAGGTGCATTCATTTCCCTTCAATCCCACTGCTCCCATCAGCTCTCAAGTGCCACATTTCAACTTTCATCCACTTTTTTCTTTTATAGTCCCAGTTTTTTTGAGCACTAAAAATGACAATGTTCAAATATCACTCCATCATGTGAAGTGCCAGGCTTCGGTCTGTTGGTATTCTCTCTCATTTTCATTTTCTTCCTTTAAGATTATCTCGGGCTCCTGAACTATTCTGTGCAAAACAGGGTTTTCCTTGGTACCTCTTGGTACCTCTGGTTTTGCTGCAGGAAACTTGAAAACACGGAAAAATTCTTTGTTGGGAAACCAATATCCCTTAGGTGTGTCTTTTTTATCATGCTGTTGGTCCAAGTTCATTCTCATGAGCCCAATCCAGTGCATGCATTGTTCATCTCTCAGTGGTTTCTAGAAGTAATCTCCAGCATATCTCAAATCTGACCACTGAAATCCATTCACAGCAACTTCCTAGCAATCTTAGCTTCTATCACACACTCGATGACTGGCTTTTTATATAGTTATTTCACAGGGAATTACCTTGATTGGAAGGTGTCCCACATGACATATTCACTATATCTTATTATGCTGAAGAGAAACTGAAATGCAATTTGAACTTCCATTTCATTTCAGGTCTTAGTATCATCACCATTCCTCACTCTTCGGAACTCTGTCAAACTCTATGAAAGCAAGCGCTGCTGAGCTGAACTAACTGGAAATTCATCAGTGGATCGGGTAAGCTAAAGTTTTTTTTTTTTTTTTCTCTATCAGGAAAAGTAGTTTAGGTCGATGATTTTTCTTGCCATATTCACCACATGCAGAGCTCCAAGCATCCAGTTTCCCTGACTCTAGGAGACAGTAAATTTTTCATGTTTCATGTCACTTACCTGAGTCAGCCTCATCTGCAGGGGTATGCCTCTGGCAAAGGTCTTATCTCGACACTGAATAAAGAGCGATAAGTCTTAGGAGCAACAAGCTTAGCCACATATTCGATCTCAGGTCACATACTGGATCCCAGTTTCTCTCTTCCATGCACTGCCAAAGCTTGTCTCCAACTCCTTAACCTTGGTGCAAGGGGTCAGAGAGATGCCTACGCCCTCCCAGATCGAGAGAGCAGATGAATGAAAATAACTGCGCGCGTCACTGCCAGCCTGTGTGCCGCAGGTGTAAGGAGAGAACAGAGCAGTGAAAGTGAAAGAATAGCATTGCCCTTTCATCGGTTCTCCCTCCAAGTTCACCAGTAAGAAAGAACATCTTCTGCCAAAGAGTCCCTTCCTCATCTTCAGCAGGTCCACATACAGCTACTCTGAGTCAGGTGTTTGCTCTTCTCAGACAGTAACGCAGACTTAGGCCAAAATCAGGGTAAAAACCTTAAAAACATTTCTTACATGAAGGAGTATCTGAGCTGGGCCAAGTCTCAGCCTTGGTCCATACACAGCCAGGAGTTACACTAGATAAGGTAGATAATGACTTTACCAGAACTGTGTCCACAAGCAGGTAGAGCTACTCATATTTATGTTAACAGTTAGCATGCCAGGTAGACACTGCACTGCAGAAAAAGGGATGCCATCCCCCAAGAATATGTCCTCATGTGATGGGAACTGTGCATGCTGAAAGACTAGCTTTCAGCTTGTGGAGAGCACCTGTCTTTCTGTCTCAGTACAAAAGGAAGAATGTGGCCCTAAGATTGCATTGAGAGTCCCCTACTTGGCAACTAACCCCTACCTAATGCAACCACAATCTACTAAATACTCCAAACCTTGTCTCTTGTGACCCTTAAGCCAACGTCTGCACTGTAGTCTTATCGAGGCAAAACTCTTCAGCATCTCTACTGCTTGCATAATTTTATTCTCTTCTGCGCAGAACGCAGAGATCATTTTGCTGTTTTGAAGAGCACCCGCTAAACTGAAATTATTCCAGCTGGAAGGCAGCACTGGCATCTCATTCCAAAAAACAATCAAATCATATTTTATTATTATTTTAAACCCAAGAAACAATGCCTGCTTCTCAACATGCATACAACATCAGCAACCCAGCAGCTTTTCAAACTCTGATTGAGATGTCTATGCCAGAGCTACAAGCTGTGTAATGCCATTACATCACTTTTCTCATTTTAGAGAATCAGCACATTCCTCATGCTAGTCAACACCTAACAAATCATGTGAAGGAAAGGCCCTTGAGCTTACTTTACTGTAGAAGAGCAACACGATCTAACTTGTCTTTTATTTAGATTAAAACTATTCTCACTAGGAGCAGCGAAACCTCGCCTACAGCTGGAACACTGCCTGGCATTACTGCCAGCCACAGCTAAGCTGAAATCACTTTGTAAACGTCATTCTTAAGCGGGTCCAGCAAAACAGATTCATCAGTAAATGGTAACTAGTCTCCTTCTATTCTTCGCACACCAGGATAGGTGCATTTTCCTCCTCAGCATCTCTTTTCTTCTGTAAACATTCACACATACCCAAGCAGACTTTTCCTGCACTGGAATATCTGCTCAGTGTGCTAGAACCTTGCATTTACAATGGGGAGTGACATCCCCAGCTGGCAGGAGAGCCATTAGGCAGAGTGAGTTGCCAACGTCACATCAGAACACACTTTGATTTTACTTGGAGCCACAGCAGCAAGTGCGTGTCCCACAGTGCTGCCCGCAGCCTATCGTGATAAATCTTGCCTTGTGTCAAAAAGCTCCTGTTGCAGGGACCACATCCTGCAGGCTTTGCTCTCCTTCTTTGCACCATTTCCTGCCTTCCTTTATCAAGCTTACAAATGACTGATGGCCTAAAGTAAACAACCAGACAAATGTCAAAATACTAACAATTCCAGTTGAACTCTTCCTATATTCTCTGTCCCAGGTGCAAACAACTTTCCGGCAAGTTAAGACATTGTTTTGCCTATCACACATACTGTAGACTGATTAAAGGTTTTCAATTAATATCAGTCCCAGTTCAGGCATTTGCCCCAGTAGCATATGAATTACTTGTAAAGTTCTAGCCATCACATTATTTTTTTGGATAGATTTACAAGAGATATTTTCAAAGATGCTATATAGCCTTCTGGCTGTCTAAAAACCAAATTAAAATAAAGAGTGGAGCTCTATAATGGTAATTAAATCATAATCACGGCTGGAGAAGAGGATCAAGACAACCGTGACAAGTCAACAAGAACTAGAACAGCCTATTAAAAAAAAGAAAAGTAACAACAAAAACCTCCCTTCCCCCCCAACTCAAAACTAGTGATTTCCCCACTTCTAGCTCCCAAAGAGCTGATACCCACATGCAAGCTCTGTGTGGCTGCAAGCATGATGAACCTACGTGGTTCACAGTAAACAGGACCAAAGACCAAAGCACTGGGCTTCTTGCATCTAAACGCAGGCAAGAAGACATTACTTTTCCGGATATGCCCAAAGCAGAGAAGGCAGCTTCAGCCCACCCATATTTAGGGCTGCTTCCGGTTGTGACTACAGAGACTGAGAGGACACAGGGGCAGGGACCATTTCCCACAGATCTTGGGGCAGTTACACTGAAGAACCTGAAGGCCATTGTAACCGCTGGGCAAATTAAACCTAGGAGAGATTGGACTAAAGCCAAATGAGAGGAGATGGCACAGCACGGTAGCCTTCTACAGTAACGCTCAACCACGCTGCCCCTAACGAAGAAGGGCTGAGCACAGAGAAATCTCTGCCTGGATCCACAGCGCAGGCAAGCGCAGACTGACTGCACGGGGCACCAGCAGGAAGAAGGGAACTACAGCCCGCCCCTTCATCTGTTTGCCTATCTCCTGCAACAGCACTAGCAAATCACTTGTTTCCAGTGCAGTAAACATACAGCATGATAACTGGATTGGGTAAGTTTTAAGAAGTCGTCACATACATTGTCCTAGCAGCTCATTTTTTCAAAATACTGGATAAAAATAAATCATTCCACAGAAATATTTATTTTTAAGTGGTGCCTCAGGCCCCAGGTTTTTAATATTGTGAGAATGAAGCAAATGAAAGCTGCAAAGATAGTTTTTAAGTACAACATTCACAGTCGCACCACATGTTCTCCACAGAGAGAAGGCAGACTGCTCTCAAACAGAAGTGGTTCAGGCATCATACGCATTGTCATGCCTTTTGCTGCACCACCCTGCAAGCAGTTCTGCATTACCTGTGTTTCCCTCTCTTATTTCTGTGCGTTTCCTGAAGAGTCCTCGCCATTGCAGAAAAAGTGAACAGTATAAGAGAGTCAGACTTTTTGAAAGATGGAAGTGTTTTCCTGCCACTTCTTGATTAAAAGATTCTCAACAGACCTTTTAGTTTCCCCAATTACTGTCTAGGTAAAGGCAGTTTAAATATCAGTGAGCAGCAGCCAATTCTTAGCTGTCCTCTTTTCCTTTCCATACCAAGCTCATTTTGGTACAGGCAAGGACTTCTGGTTTTGGCAGATCTCTGCTCAGTGTTCAGTACTAAAAGGGAAAAATAAAAAAAAAAATTCAGCCACCAAAACCAGTTGCCCCTTCCAGGTTCTCTCTTCCCCTTTTCCAGAACGAGGAGGCCTGAACTTAACATTATTTGAATCCTAGATTCCTTTAAAGAAAAATAATTGTGCTTAGAAGAGAGAAGCCTATCCAAACAATGGATCAGCTATTTGTCTTCTTAGCTGTTTATGCTCCATTTAAGCCAATGTTTCATTGGGTTAACCTCTATCTGACCCAGTAGAGGGACAAGTTGTTTTCCTTGAGCTAGTCATTAGCTCAACCATAACTGATATTCCCAAGGAGAAACTTCATTTAAGTCGAAAAAAAGGAAATCGATGAACAGATGACCTCAAGACTAATGAGCATGCTGAGCTCAGTCCCTTACCATAATCCTTCCTTCCTTGAAGTCGGGTAAAGGGTGGGGGGAATGACCCTTCTCCCCTCCCCAGAAGAAACAAAAAATCCACACCGTATTTATGCACTTACCTGTGAGAATGCAATCCCAAAAGCCACTCCAGCTATGATTCCCATATTTGTCTCCATAAAACTGGTCACCAAATCGTAACAGCCCTGGAAAACAGAGACAAATATAATCATTCCTTGTACAGCTCTTCCCTGCCACATACACATACATACTTACTCTCATCTAAAATGGACTTGGGCTGGTATTTTCGCTGTAATTTCCAACAATGTCACTTTTTTATTTAATACCAATTTTGACTGTATGATGAAATGTGGTGACAGAAATAGTTCTTTTTAGGCACAAATGTATTTTGATATTTTTAAAAGTTAAATATGATGTTGCACTCATTTTTATAGGTCTTATGTATTAAATAAAGTCAGCCTGCATTGATTTAAAAAACATTACTATAGCTTTGGTCTGAAATCAAACTACAAAGTAATGACAAAATACAATACAGGCTGTCAAAAATGAATAAATGAGGTTGCTCTCCTAAGACTCCAGATGCCTAATGCAAGCATGCTTCAGGTGTGCAGTGAGCTGTTCTGCCTGCCTTCCTCTGTCGAAGGACACCAGGCAAGTATGGAATACTTTATAACTTTTAAATATTTAACAAAGTTGCCAAGGGTTTTGTATGAGGTTTTCTGGTTTGCTTGCTCTAAGACATGAAAAATCCTCTTCCTGTTCCCCACAACCACATTTCTGTCCCTAGATCAGACCCTGGTTCCATCAGCTGAATTGCTTCCTTGCACCTCAATTCACAGTAGCCACCAGGGCCAGAAAATTCACATACATCCTTTCTCCTGGACAGGCTTTTTTGAGCTGTCCCTCTCAGTACGTTTATTTTCTCCAAGCTTCTCCCCTTGCCTACCCCATCCCCCCAAAAAGTGTTTGTAGTTAGCTTTCCTAGCTTGTGGTACCTAAATGAATCTAAATATGTGACATAAAACTTCAAGAAAAAAAGGTAACATGCGTTTTTTCTTTCATTACAAACCTATCTGCCCATACAATACAAACCCATTTCTCAGTCCCTTTGGCCACACTTACCCAAATGACCAATAACACACTTTTAGTCTAAAGTTAGTCCCAAGTCGTTTCAGTTCACGTTATAACTTTATCCACTTTATCAGAAGTTGGAAAAAACAGAAATAACAGTGAGTTCCCTTTCCCAGTTTGGACTCCAGTCCTACCAGCGAGCAGTGTCTCCACATCCCCCCACCAGCCACTCACACTCCACTTCTGCAAACACTTTACTAACTCTTTGCATGATTACAGGGCATTATGTTGCACATAAAACAAAGTAACTGAAAGGAAAGGACAATGTCCGTTGTTAAAGAGAGGTCACTCATGACCTAAATTATATCATTTCTTTAACCTCTTCTGTAATATCAGAAGATATTTTATTTAATCCTGAGAGTAATGAAGTGGTAAAGATAATCATAACTCAGGACCAGCACAGCCATAATTGAGTTCTGAAACGTTTAAGTATACGTATTAATCCTTAATTATGTCTTACAACAGTCTACAGTACGCTAGATTCGAGCTTACTTATTTAACTCATCAAGCCACTATAGTTGTGTGTGTCTTACACATTATGAAATGAGATTAGATTTCTCAACCAGTTCTTTCATTTTGTCTGATGTGGCTTAATGTTCTCCCAGCTTTTCTGAAATCTGTTTTGTTCAACAGTCTTCAAAAGATATAACACCTAACAGTAAAGGCAATTTGAGGGAGACAGAACTTGTTAGAAAAACATGCAAGTGGGATAGTTTTGATCTCTTTCCTCATGTGAAGACTATGTCTTCCCAAATCACAATAGTCTGTTTCCTCAAGTGTATTGCATAAATACGGCTTATTGCGCCGTCCTTACTGTGCACATGGATAAGAGTGGAAGAAACACCCAAGAGTTGCACATACAGTACGAAAGTATGTGAAGCACTGTGCTTACAGTGCATACAACTGGGTGCTGATTCACAAGGCAGAAGTGACAATTCAGCAACTATGTGATCACCGTCAATTCCACACATCTGTTCCTTTATTCAAATTTTAGAGAAAAGGAGCTCTTGAGATTTGTTGGTAACGGCCACCGCAGATTAAAACCACTAGATGAATCAGCTAATCCTAGCAATAGTTCTTAAAGTTAGGTATTAGCCTGATCTCAGATCAAGAAACAGACAAAGAGATTAAATGATGTACCCACTGTGGCTAAGAAAATTAGTGGCGGAGTTGGCAAAAAAGATCCAGGAATATTTGTCTTTTAGCCCTGCAATTAGACCACTAGTTTAAGCCTCTTCGGATAACTCATCATTAGACCTCACAAACTGCTGGTAAATTGATTAGCCTGTTGAGAACTTGTTTGATAGTTTTGCGAGATCCACCCAAAAGATGCATTTCAAATATATTTTTCTACAGAAACAGTAACAAGGCACAAACATTTTTCGCTTTCTCCAAAACACACCAAAGTAAAGTACCTATTTCCAAGAAAGGCATGTGACTTGCGTCAGAGGCAATGATGTTTGCTCCTTATCTCAAGTTAAAGCGTAAGGTGAAATAACATTTCCTTCCACTTTATTTTTATTCTCATGCCACTTTCAGAAAAATCCTACTTTGTTCAAGCTTTTGGGATAACTCCAAGATCTGACAACTGCTAAACAGAATTCTTTCCCGCCTTTGTTTAGAAGTGGCTATCTCAGAAAATGGAACAGAGTTTCTCAGATGTTGTAGGATGTTCAAACTACCTCTGGGTAATTAAATATAGTAACTAATCCAACTGTTTGCTGAAGAATCAGCAGTCGTCTTCTGTCAGGTGACTTGAGCATTTGATAGGAGAGAGCCTAACAACTTCTTAGGAAAGAGCATGGCTAGAAATGATCTACAACCACTGGAAAAGGTCACTCATCCTGTAGCTGCTCTGTACAAGTTTCCAAGGTATCCCTTTTACAAGAGGAACTCGCATGTGGACGAGGATTTACCTGAGCATACGTGTTATGCAGAGCATAAAAAGGAAGTCTGACGCTTTGGGGAAACCCATGGTGGCAACACAGATGGCATCTGCGCAGTTAGGCAGCTGGGCAAGGTTCAGAACGCACAGCTACCCAAAAGTGGGAAGGTGGGACTTGCTGGTGGCGTACAAGAGTAATCACCAAGGATGCACGTGCAACAGAGAGCCTTTCTGGAAGGGAGGTGGCAGAAATAAGGGCTCAAGCGTGAGCTGCCGAGAAGGACTTCTGCCTGCAGGGGATGCCAGATGTCCTGCACATCCAGCAGATCCACTCCCCCACCCCCCCAATTCTGCTTCTCACCTTTTTTTCATTTTTACAAAAATGAAAAGTCACTGCAATTTTATGAAGTGCAAACAAATGGAACTGCTTATCCTTTATACTCCTGCAACACAGCAAGACTACTTGGCTGGTGACTATGGTGAGTTTTGTAACAGACTGAGTCACTACTGTTCCAAATATATTTGTAACAATTGGCTCTCATTAGACTATTGTGATTAAAGAAAAGGTTAGTGGAAGATAATCCTCTGTTACCCTTTTTTTGGCACATGCTAGAAAACACCATCCACCTGACTGCTTTTCAGAGAAAGATCCTTAAGGGTGTGCTGAGCCACACCGTCCAACTTCCTGAATCACATGTAACTGAGGTAAAAAGTCTAAAACAGAAGACAAGCAGGTATTTCCGTACTTCCCCTGTTATCAACTCAGGCTTTTTTCTTTTCTTCTTTTTTGTATTCAGCAGGTGCCTTGGAAATAGAAAGGGCAAAGGAAATCATCCAGAAGTCTGACTGATCTATGCCACAATTTAGCTTGGCTATTTGGCTGCAAAACCATTTCTGTTATCAACAAGCTGTCTTGTTGCATCTCTTGCAAATCTTAAGTGAGAAGGAAAGAACTGATGGTGCATCAGCAGTTAAAGGAATAACTTGAGCTGTGTTTCTACAGTGCAGTATTTGTTGTACATGCTGCATTATTTTCCCTCCTACTCCTGCCTTTGTATTTTATGTATTTTTATTCCCCAGCAATTCAATTCCTTCCTCTTCCTTGATTCTGTTCTTCCAACCTGCTCTTTTAGGTGACCTCAGGAGAGGGCTCACTTTGGCTTCGCAATGCTTACAATGGCACGCATCCATGCTTTTTAACAGGCACTGTAAACGTATCCAACCAACCACAATGCTTTCTTTCAATCACCCTTCTTTTCTCTTTTTGGGATGACAGGCTCCAGCACTGAAATTTCTGTTAGAACTAAGCAAGAGTAAAACCTGTTCTTCCCTCCACCTAACTACATCTTGGTCCTCAACAAAAAAACCCACAGCATTCAGCAGAAACAAGCACAGAAGTGCTGATTGTCCTAACTCTCAAAGGTAGTCAAATGCACATGCTGTACGTATTCCTTTGCCTGATCAGCATCGCCTCTGTGTGCAATGCCGTACCAGAACTAATGTGATGAGAAAGGGGAGCAAATTCCCATTCCATCGGAAATATCCCTGCACCTGGTTATCTGAGAATTGTCAGCTTAAAGAATTTGAATGCAGAACTAATTCTTATCATCGCTCCATCCCAATAAACAATACAATCCTTATCAATCAACCATTTGAAACAAAATGCAATTGTAAACAGTCATACGCTCCAGTGATTTGCTAGACGGTTTCATAACCATTGCCTCTGGCACAAAGTTACTCGTACCTTCTGGTTTACTTTAGTAGCAGCCACGGTCATATTGCGCAGATCCTGAGTATTACAGTCACTGGAATTCATGCAACAGCTTGTAGGGATGCCATGTTTGAAGAAATAGGGGCTGGTGCTCCAGTTAGTGTAGCTCTGAATGCCACAGCAGCTCAGCTATGAGGAAAAAGAGGTAGATAACCAAAAGGAATCAGAATTAAAACCAGTACAGAAACAGCTTAATACTTGCCCTTTCAGAGAAATAATTGAAACCATCATCAGTGCCCGCTTAAAACTCAATCAAAATAAAGACAGTTAGCCATGCTGTGGCATTTGCTCATGCTCTACGCTCCACTGGAAGGCTGGGAAACCTCCCACTTTCCCGTCACAGCACTCCTCAGGTCAGAAAGGCTTTCTCAGAGAGTACCTAATCCATCCTTCCAACACCGTAAGAAAACAGGTCTCATTACTGCAGGGCCGTCAAGCCTGACCTCCGTTACCTCATGTCATGGGTAAAACACGGTGCTTTTGGTAGCCTTATTTCACTGAAGTGAACACTGAAGTCTTCCTTCAAACTTCCTTCAAGAGAGTCTCCCATTTTCTCCATGTTTATATTTATTTGGTTTCAACTACTGAACAGGAAAA